ATCTATCTATCTATCTATCTATCTATCTATCTATCTATCTATCTATCCATCCATCCATCCATCCATCCATCCATCCATCCATCCATCCATCCATCCATCTATCTATCTATCTATCTATCTATCTATCTACCTATCTATCTATCCATCCATCCATCCATCCATCCATCCATCCATCCATCCATCCATCTATCTTATAAATATCTAGGATAATTAAAAGCACAAGAAGGAGTTACAGCTACAATTAAAAAGCCAATGGAAATAGCCTACTCCTTAAAACCTGGTTGAAGATAAAAGGCTTTTAAATCAAGAGGGACATTTTGGAAAAAAAGGGAAACTAGCATAAATATTTGCTAATGCAGGAACAGAGAAATGCTTGCTTTTCATCCTTCCTTTTTAACAGGGAAAGGCACCGCTTTCCTATTTATAGTTGGTCTGTCAGTAGTCCCAAAGAGACTACTATAAAGAGAGTGGGATTTGTTTGGCTCCAAGAAATGGTTTTAAGGAGTGAATTTTTATGTAACTTTCCTCAAATAACTGTTGTTTTGTGTTCACAACGCAACCCATTATATTTATTTTTCCCTCCTGAATGCATTTTATCAGTGAAATATTCTGGGCTCTTTTTATGAACATGGCAGCTCAATTCTCCCAAAAGATAATCCAGTATTAGAGGGGCATGGAGTAATTGGTAGCTGAAACATGTCAAGTGTGCTGAGCAAATCCATGTTTTCCAGCCCCTTGTCCTGAGTGTAGAGAAGAAGCATAATTGTGGATGATAACAAGCTTAATCTGTTCGTTTTCTCCCCAGGGATCTTTCCAGTAACAAGATCAGCACCTTAAACGCTGAAATGTTCCTGCACCTGATTTCTCTGGCAAAACTGTAAGTACTTCGAGATCTCCTGTTTTGCAGTACTGCAAAAAATTCTGCATAATTCTGTGGAAGAGGAACATTTACATTGCACTCGGGGAACCTCAGGGGGGGTTAATTAAAGAAACTTCTAGTCCTCAATTTCGGTGGAATGGCTTGAATGGAGACAGTGGCTAATAAGATCACATACTGGCTGGGGAATTCTGGGAGTTGAAGTCCACATGTCTGAGAGCTGCCATTGGGAACCCCTGTTCTAAAGCAGTGATGGCATACCCATGACATGTGTGTCAAAGGTGACATGCCACAATGTATTGGGTGACACACCAGTGTTCGCCAACACCCGACAACAATTATTCTTGAACGCACACCCTGCTCTTACGCACTTTCCTGAGGCTGTGGAGGGCAGGCAAGAATGGGGTGTCTCATGGCCTCCGGACAGAAGTGATGTGCTACGGGTTTAGCTAATGTTATGGCTGGTTCGGTGAGCCGCCAAATCCCACCCCTGGCTGGCCCCGCCCACCCTGCCCTGCCCCTCCCACCTCTCCCCTTCCAGGACTCTCCACGCGGCCCATTTTGGATGCAGGGCCTGCGTGGAGGCTCAGAGAGGGAGAAGAAATGGGCCTCCTGGAGGCTGCAGAAGTCCGGAAACAGGCCCATTTTCGGCCTCCAGAGGGTCTCTGGAGCCCGGGGAGGGGGGGAAACAGGCCTCCTGCCCTGGTGCAGGAGGCCAACTAGGCCACGCCCACCCAGCACCCAGGCCGAGAACCCATTGATGAAATTTTTGAAGCCTCCGGAGCCTCCAAAAGTCACGTGAGGATGGAACGTGCTTTGGTGTGGCCTTTAGGGGCTGCAGAGGCCACGGGGGAAGCTGCTTCAAGAACACGGCGGCCTCAGGTGGGCCACAGGGAGAGCAGGAAGGGAAGAGGTGCACGACGGACTTCACGGAGCCCTGGGCTGGGTGGGGGCCATCGCCCTCTTCCCCAATAGCACGGGGTGGGCTTTTGGAGAGACAGCCATGGGGCTAGGGGTTGAAATCCAGACCTGGGCCTCGCCTTCAAGCTCAGCCTTGGGTGCTGCTGTTCAGGCTGGCCTAGATGGGGAGGGGGGGGAGATAGAGAAATGTTTCTCTTTCTGGAGGGGCTGGAGGGGGGAGGGGACACACCAGCAGAATCAAATTAGGCATTTCTCGATTTTATGTATGTACCCTGAGAGTTTGGGCACTGGAGTCAAATTTGTTGTGTGTCTCATCACATTTGGTCAATAAAGCCATTCCCTCCCCTCTCCTTCCATTCCCTCCCTTCCCCTCCCCTCCCCTCCCCTTCCTCCCCCTCCCCTTCCCTCCCACTCCCCTCCCCCTCCCCTCCCCTTCCCTCCCCTTCCATTCCCTCCCCTTTCTTCCCGTTCCATTCCTTCACTTCCCCTCCCCTTCCCTCCCTCTCCTTTCCTTTGTCATGTCAAAACCCCAAAAAGGTCACCATCACTGCTCTAGTGTTCAAAAGAGGATGCAAGCAAGAATTCCATATAGTGGATGGTTGTTGTTGTTGTTGTTGGTCCCACAGTCTAGCAGATATTTAGATTGGATTTGACATTTTTATCCACCTACTGAATCCTTCCCAGGACCTGGGATAGGCAGGTATGGATGTTTGATGGTGTTAAAGGTATCAACACAAAGGATGTAAGCTGTTCAGAGTCAAGCTGCCTTTTGCAATTGACTGATGAGGATTTCACCACCTTGAGTTTTTTTTAATTTTAGGCAGCGAACATATGTAATATCTGCCTTGTAATTTTCCCCAGAACAACAACCCTTTGAGGTAGATTGGGCTGAGAGGAAGGGACTTGCCCAAAGTCACCCAGCCGTCCTCCATGGCTTAAGGCAGAACTAGAACTCACCATCTCCCAGCTATGTATCTTTATTTTTTAAAAAAAACAAACACCAAATTTTATTAATTTTACAATTAAAAACAAATCAACAACACATACACGAATAGAAAAAAGAGAGAAGAAAAAAGAGAAAAGAAAGAAAAGCAAAAAGAAAGGAGAAAGAAAGAAAATGAAAAAAAAAATCTTTAAACACTTGTTCAAAGTGAAGGGTGTTTAATGCACCATTACAACCTGTTTCAATCAAATCCCACATGCCGTCAATTTCCCCTGTTCCTGATTTTGAGCATCTCTCATTAGCAGAACAAGTTGAAGAAGATGTTGGGAATGACTTTTTAGAAGGTTAGCACACACTACTAGAATTCTAGCATCGTTTTTTTCCCTACCGGAACTGAGCTGGCTTTTGAAATGTCTTTCTAAGAAGAAGGGAATTTTGGAAGCATGTGCAGGGAGCATGGTAGCCATGCGATATGTGCTGATAGGAGCCAAGGGACAGTGGGAATATCCTGTTCACAAAGCTGCAGCTGTCCCAAGGGAAAAGTTTGTGGGAAAAGCTTTCCTATTAGGAGTCGTCCTTGAGAAATTTCGAAACAACATTTGCTTAATTTATATGGCTGCAAATTTGATGGAGAATTTAGAAACAATGGAAAAACAATAAAGTGTGAACAAGATGCATGAGAAAGATGCTTCAATGATGATAGAAGCTGGGTTAGGAAAGGTGCCATTTTAAATTGTGACTTGCTTGCTGAACAAACCTGTAGTGGATTAGTTGGCACAATCCAAAAAGCCAGTGATTCTCAATCTATTCTTCGCTATAGACTCCTTTTAATTACCTTTTATGGCCATGGACCATGGCCACAGATCCCAAGACTTCAGATTTAAATCATAACATTTCTTTAAGCCTTTGTGGACCCCCTGTGACAAAATTGTGTCCCCCCCTCCCCCCAGGAGTAAGCAGACCCCAGTTTGAAAACTGCTACAATAAGCCACAACAGGTAGATTCACACTTCAGGCAACTACCAAAATCTAACAAACAAGTAAAAAATATTATTACCATCAAAGGCCAGCCCAGAGTTCGATATAAGATAGGCGACTATATGCAAGTGAACGTTTTAAAGGAATAAATAAAATAAAAGCAACAACCAACAGATAAAGGAAACAAAGACAATTTATGCCTAGTGCTCCGTTAAACCATAATATGAATGTCCTGGAAAAAAATAAACATGACCCAGGGCCAGGGTGGGCGTGGCCAGCTTGACATCCCTCGTGTCAGGGGCGCCTGTGATGGCTTGAGTGCTCAGCCAGTGAAAATGGACATGCGCCCCCATCCCCCCCCCCCCGGCTCTGTTTTCACTGGCAGAGGGTTGTAATTTAGTTTAGGTTATGTTAGGTTAGTTTATTGTCCTTGCACCTCGTACAACAAAATTGAACACCATCTTCCATGTACGTTATGACTATGAAAGTAAACACAAACACACATCCTTCACATTCTACACATTGAATTGAAAACCCCTGATATTGCATTAACATTGCACTATACACTGGAATTCAATAGAGTCACTGCCCTGGGATAGAAGCTGTTTTTCAGCCTGTTTGTCCCTGTTTTTATTATCCTGTACTGTCTGCCAGATGGTAATAGTTCAAAAAAAGGGTGCCCAGGATGAGATGGATCGTTGAGAATGTTTTGAGCTTTCTTGGAGGAGGCTGTGGCAGCAAAAATGGAGCTCAGGAGCCTGTTTTCGCTGGCAGAGGCACTGCAAGCCAGTTGTGATGCTTCTGTTGGAATCTGATTCCGAGGGGGAGGTCGAACAGCTGGCAGGGAGTGGGAGTGTGGCTCCCGGTGGCTGTGGAAGAAACTGGGGAAGGACACAGTCCGGCTGGGCCTTCAGAGGAAGACCCAGGGCCACCTCCTCTTCATCCTAGGGCACGCAGGGAGGAACAGAGAAGGGAGCAATGTGAGTTACATGGGTTACGGGGGAGAAAAGGGCCCTGATTCCTTTCATTTGCTGCAGGTGGGAAAACAGGATTTAAAAAGGGTGTTTGCGCACAGCACCTTGCTGGAAGCAAAATGTGATGGCCCGTGGCATGGCACAAAAGCAACAAAGTCCCTTTAATACCTCCAACTTGGCCCCCAGTGTCCAGTTATCATCGGCTGGAGAAAAAGCTGCTCTTGGGAGAGTTTTTTTCCCCAACCGATGATAACTGGACATTGGGGGCCAAGTTGGAGGTATTAAAGGGACTTTGTTGCTTTTGTGCCATGCCCCGAGTCATCATACCGATCCTTCACTGTTTCTAGGGTGGCCCCACAGACCAGATCTTAAGTACCCC